TTTTCTTATCCTCACCCCCTCATTCAGGTACTGTTCCTTGCTGGCAGGTTCCGGCAATCTGTCCTCATTAAAGGTCACCTCATTAACATGACAAGAGACACCTTTTAACTCTATCACTTAGGAAAATCCAAGGGCATTACTATGTGCCTGCAACTGCATGAAGACCTAACGTCTATTTCCTATTTAAATCTCACTATCACACCCTCCTCCTGGACAGATGCCCTCCTCCCTGTACCAGTCACTATGGTGCACACTGACCAGACCTGGCACCTCAGCAGGGTCTTTCTTCTCACCCTGGTCTGTTCTGTACAGAGTCACACCAGGCTGTCTCTCCTCACTCTGGATTCATGGATGCCCTCCAGCCTTCGCTCCATATCAAGGCTTTGCTTTGCAGGGACCCCTCTTCCTCCAGCTTGTGCTCCTACCAACCAGGGGGGAAAGTGTGCTCCCCTTGTCACAGGTGGGTGCTGACATTCTGGGCTGGGGTGCATGCACACAGTCTTACTCATTAGGAATGTAGGGGTGATTTTCCATGTTCCCCTCCCACAATCTGGACACCTTTGTCACCCTGCTTGGCCGATAGCTGCCCAGACTAAGTTTCCCTCTTACCTGGATGCCCTCCTTCCCTGGTTCAGAATCATTGGACCACTCTGATGCCCTCTGCACAGATTAATGTTGTGCTATTCCTTACATAAGGGCTTTAGGACTGGAAGGGAGAAACAGGAAAGAAAGGAGAAGAAGGTCAGGGACATGCCTTACCTTCTCATAGATTTACTTATTAGTCTTTCCACAGGAATTGAATGCATGGGAAAGTTTAAGAGGACAATTTGCTTCATATTTACAATAGTAACAAAAGATTTGGACTGAGAAACGTTGGAAGCTATTAGAAAAAGTAACATTTGAGATTAAATGCCCTTTCTACTTGAGATAGAAAAAGAGGGCCAGGCAGTCAGTCAGGGACAAGGACCAGTCAGTCAGGGTCACGGACCAAGGGAGGGAGGCAGAGGAGAAGGGAAGCAGAACTTTGCAGATGTGGAGAAAAACAGGACCCAGAACTAGACCCAGCTAGGTGGGCCTGAGCTTTGAAATAATTGGATATTGCCAGAATGCTTTGAAGGGACCATTCAGAAGCTAGCAGGGTATATGAATATCCTATATCCGTGATTGGCAAATTGCAGCTTGCGAGCCACATGCGGCTCTTTGGCCCCTTGAGTGTGGCTCTTCCACAAAATACCATGGCTTGGGCGAGTCCATTTTGAAGAAGTGGTGTTAGAAGAAGTTTAAGAAACTTGGCTCTCAAAAGAAATTTCAATTGTTGTACTGTGGATATTTGGCTCTGTAGACTAATGAGCTTGCCGACCACTGTCCTATATAATAAAGAGGTAATATGCAAATTGACACTCATACCTTTCTCACACGATGGCCGCTGTATGTGGTCAAAGATGGCTGTCAGGAGAGGGCAGTTGGGGATGACCAGGCCTGAAGGGGAGGGCAGTTGGGGGTGACCGAGATCGCAGGGGAGTGGTTAGGGGGTGATCAGGCTGGCAGGCAGAAGCAGTTAACGTTACCCAGGCAGGCAGGTAGGCAGACAGGTGAGCAATTGGGAGCCAGCAGTCCTGGATTGTGAGAGGAATGTCTGACTGCTGGTTTATGCCCAATTCTGGATGGGGCCTAAATCATAGTCTGACATCCCTTGAGGGGTCCCAGATTGGAGAGATTGCCTGCTGGGCTGAGGGATGCACTCTCCCCCCCCCCCCCTTCCAGGGCATAAATTTCGTGTACCAGGCCTCTATTCCCTAAATCAGTGGTTCTCAACCTTTCTAATGCCTGACCCTTTAATACAGTTCCTCACATTGTGGTGACCCCCAACCATAAAACTATTTTTGTTGCTACTTCATAACTGTAATTTTGCTACTGTTATGAATCATAATGCAAATATCTGTGTTTTCCAATGGTCTTAGGCTCTACAGCAGCAGGTCACAACCTGTGGGTGGTGACCCACAGGTTGAGAACCACTAGTAGGGTTGCCTAAGGCCATCGGAAACACAGATATTTACATTATGTAAATACCCCAGATTAAGTTTTGCCCTCAAAGATGGTGGCACCTACAGCCAATAAGGAGGGAATACGCTAACTGACTTCCGGCCCTCAAGGATGGCGGTGCCCAAGACTACAAGGTGGTGGTGCCCCGTCCCCTCAGCCCTGTCAGGGCGGCAGGCACATGGCAAGGCAGGGCCCCCCTCGTGCCTGCCTCTGGAGTCCCCTTCCCCCTCAGCCCCCCAGCTGCATAGGGCCAGCCCAAGGTAAAGGCAAGCCTCGGATGGTGGCTGCCCAGCTGCCCATGGCCACTTGAGGTTCAGGTAAACAGGGCCAGCTGAGGCTTGCACTGCAGGCAGTGGCAGCAACAGAGGTGTGATCCCCAGGTCGCCTCCCGCCCCCGAGGGCTCCCAAACTGTGAGAGGGGGCAGGCCAGGCTAAGGGACCCATGCATGAATTTTCATGCCTTGGATCTTTAGTAAGTACATAAACATCAAACCTTTCTCACTGAGAAGCAGATAAAAAATACTATATATTCAGTCATAATCTAATTTCATTTCTTTTGTTCATGTTTCACAAATCCTCTTTTGGATGCTTCTGGTTCCACACAACAGGGACTGAATGGTGCATTTTCTCTGGTCAAAGCCCTCACTGCCCTTGTTATTGTTTTGAGTTTGTGATTTCTCTGTGCTCATGGCGAAACTGAACATTCTCTGAGGGCTCTGCCTCCAGCATCATGTTGCCGAAGAAGTTCTGCCTTTACAAGTTCGCTCAGCAAACATCTGATTTTCTGGATTTATTCCTAAAAACAAAAATTTGAAATTCTGATTAAAGAAAAAAAAGGAGATTTTATTATTGAAGGATGTCTCAGATTTCTTAATATGCTACTTGTGCTTTGAGCATAGGTAAGTGAGCAATACAATGCACCACTTTCCATTTAAAAAATTATTTGAAAAATCATCTTTATTATTATTTTCCAGTTACAGTTTACATTCAATATTATTTTGTATCAGTTTTAGGTGTACAGCATAGTGGTTAGACAATTATATACTGTACAAAGTGGTCCTCCCAATATTTCAAGTACACACCTGGCACCTACTTATTTATTACAATATTTCCAATAGCACTCTTGTAGCGTCCTATCAGCTGTGTAATTTAAGAGCTTAATGGTGACACAACTTACTTCTGGCCCTTGAGTGAAATAATTGCCCTTTTTGCACCAGTGGAATCCTGTAAATTAACAAGTATACAGGTTTTATCACTGGAAAGGCTACATCATCAAGATCATTTTGCTGTTCTCCCTCGGGGGCAGGGATCCTTCTACCTCATACCCCTGGGTTTGAATCACCGCCAGACTTGGGAAATCACTACTTTTCAAAGCAGTTGTGCGGGACACTGCAGAAACTATCCTCTTGCTACTTTGCCCTCTTACGGCTGCCTTCTGCTTTCTGTAAACCCTCTCCATACGACAGCCCTTCAGTTATGTCCACCTAGATCCACAGCCTTCTCGGATTTTCTCTCCCTGTCTCTTTCTTCCAGAGTTATACTTAACTTCTCCTAGGAGATGAGATTCTTTCTCCTGCCCCATCTCCTTGCCCTTGTCTGGATTTAGTATCTTTTTTTTTTTTTTTTAATGTGCTATTTTAGAAAGCTGTGAATTTCACCCATGAAAGCCGAGAAACACTTTGAATTCTTCTTGTTCTTACATCATGGTTTCACTTTATCTCTGGACAATTACATCCACCAGACACAACCTTTGTCCCCAAGCGCCGCATGCACTTGGCACACACTTGCTGACCTCCTGCGTAAGTCAGCTTTTCTTGAACCCTCATCTGAACAAACATGTATTTTAATCTGCGGATATCCCGTGCGGCGTCAGGAAGGGCCGGCTCGGGCAGTGCTGGCTCAGGGAGTTCGCCACCACGCTCCAGATTTCGCTTCCTCCTTCTCCTCCGGGTTTTAGAAGTGAGACAAAAAAGTTAATTCCTGCGAGCGCCGGAGACAATGCAAGGGGCTCCAGACTCTATTCCAGGAAGCTGGTCTCAAGGTAAAACAAAGAGACCGCGGAGAGCAGAAGGCAAGCCAGGGGACACCGACGCGGCGGTGTCATTAAGGTAACCTCGGGCGGGGAGAGGATAATAGGGGTGAGGGCTGGGCTGAGGCTGGGGACCCGCAAAACCAGAGGCCGGACCGGGGGCGCGGCGCCCTCGCGCGGCCGAGCGCGGGAGTGCGCCCCGGGGGGGAGTGTGCCACCACGTGCTGCAGAGGCGGGGACAGGGCCATCCGCCTCTTATCTGAAAGGGGGTGCGGGGCGCGACGGCAGCCAACAGGCGGACAGGCGAGGCGAGAGGTCAGCAGGTTAAGCCAGTCCTTCCGACTAGCTTGCCAAGGGCAGAGAACTGGGAGAGGGAGGGTCCCGCGGAGACGCTCAAACCCCCGGGAAGCCCGAAAGGGACCGCACGTCCCATCCCTTTGGAGTGTGCTCTCTCGGGATTCGGGGATTCAGGAAGAGGAGGTGGGGTTCCGCGGAGAGTGGGGTTTGTGGGCTCCCTAAGAGCCGACGGTGGCATGGGCTGGCTCTCCTGGAGGAGCCTGTGCCACCGCCGCACTGTAAGCAAACCCCGGGGCGTCTGCAAACCTGGCTCCGGGGCAGCTGGCCCCGTGCCCGGCGGCCGGGCGTCCGAGGGCTGCAGCCGCGCAGTTCTCCCGGGGCCCGGCCGGCGGGTGGCCGGTGGCCTTTATCTCTGTCCCCCCTTTGTCCTCTTTATCTCAGGCTCCCCAGGAGGCCCGGGGCCCGCGCTGCCTATCGCTCCCCGCCCCCCGATCGCCGCACCGCCTCTTCAATGCCCCGCCGGCCGCCGGCTGCTCTTCTCCCGAAGGCGGCGGAGGACGCGGGGCGCCCCGTGCCACCACCGCGGACCCCGATCGCCTCCGACGCCTGACCCGCGAGCCCTTGGGCACCGATGCCGCCTGCGCGCCCCGCGAGCCCCCGCGCGCCCCCGCCCGCCCCGGGTCTGCGCGGAGCCGCGCCGTCCAGGACGGCCCCTGGCCGGCCGGCGGCCGGGCTGCTGCTGCTCCCGCTCCTGCTCCTGGCGGCCGCGGGCCTCGGAGGGGCGGCGGCGGGGCCCGGGCTCGCCTTCAGCGAGGATGTGCTGCGCGTGTTCGGCGCCAACGGGAGCCTGTCGGCGGCGCAGCTCGGGCGGCTGCTGCAGCGCCTGGGAGCCGGCCCCGCCGAGGGCGCCCCGCAGCCCGCGCCGCTGCACTTCAACCAGGTAGGGCGCCCCGTGCGGCCCCGCGGCCCCGGCTCCCCGGCCGCTCCTGCGGGAAAGTGCGAGGGACGAGCTGCGGGACCTGTTTCAAGCGGGAGGCGGCGACTGGGGGGACTTGATTCCCACCAGACCAGGCTCCCCAGCCAGGGGTCAAGGGCTGGCGGGAGGGAGGGAGGGAGCCAGAAATTGCAACCCATGAGCTGAGTAATCAATCAGCTTGTGAATATAAGATTTGATAGAAAAGTTTATAAAAGTAGTTTAAGGCGGGAAGCAACTTAACAGATGCTCTTTCTTTCTTTTTCTCCTTCCTTTTTCTTTTTCTTTTTCTTTTTCTTTTTCTTTTTCTTTTCTTTTCTTTTCTTTTTCTTTTTCCTTTTTTTAAGCACAGAAACCACGTACTTAAATCCTCCCAGCAAAAACAGGGGCTCGCATGCTGTCCTCAACAGTTGCTTGGCAGGTAACCGCTGCCAACGAGATATAATGCAGTTCTGCTTTTTCTGTGTCGGTTTACACGAGGCATTTAGTTTCCCCGAGGAGACTAACTGTACGGAGAGCAATGAAGATGATAGCTGTTAGTCCATTTCAACACGGCGATAGTATAGATTGTTATTTACAGAACACAGGTTCTGTGATTAGTTCTTAAAACGGTGAAGTAAACACTGTGGTTTCTGCATCCTCCCCACTTTTTAAAAGGGTTAACTCAGTGCCTTGATTTTTTTTTTTTTTTTTCCCTTCTCCTGCTCTTGTTCCTGGGAGAATGGATGAGGAACAGTAGGATGCATCCTTTTCCATATTACTTGTCACTTCTGGCTCCTGTGTGCGCTACAAAAAACGGTTATGGCTCAGGATGTCTGGGGCATGCTGCACACTATACTCCACTCTTGGAAATATAACATTTCCTAATGTACCTGACCTTAGGTCACCGTTAGGGAAACTTTAATCAGAGGAGCTCCATGCTGAGAACACTGTAGATAGGAAGACGTTCCTTTTTTGTTGGAAACACCTTGCCCCAATGAAAACACACGCTGCCCATGAAGAACCTGTGATGCCATGTGTGTCGGAGGGTGATCTCCCTTTGAACCTAAGGGTTTTGTGGTTCACTTTATGCATGTTTCCCCAAAAACTATAGTTCTGGCTCCAGCCTGGCTTAATTAAACATTTGCTTTCTTGTCTAAGACACATGTTAGCAACACTGAAATTCCCACGTTTTATGTTAATATTTGGAAAAGAAAACAAAGCAAGTAGCTTCCTAATTATTTTCCGCCTCCTTGTAGTCTCTTCAAGTAGGGGAGACAACTGAGCTGACGAAAGGGTTTCTAGGTAGCAGTGGGAGGGGTCATGTGCTTTGAAGAAGCTGGGGGGACTTGCAGCTGCCTATCTGTAGCCCACACATTGTTGTGACTTAAATAATCTTCTTTATCTCACAGTGTGTGGAGGTGTTGAAGAATTTTAAAGAGACAAAAGACCTCTTGGCAAAAACTGGAAAATATGTCTAAATTATTTTTAAAAACTATTTAAGTTTACTAATAGTATAATTTCCAGTTTGTGAGTGAGTAGGGCACCTCAATAGATTCATTATATGCATGCTGACACCTTGTTTCTCATTCTCACACTTGCACCTTTACTGTCATTATGGCCTCTGTGGGGGCGCCAACAAGGAACAGGAAGAAGCCTATAATTTGGAAACAAAGGGAAGCCAGAGGAAATTTATCACTTACTCAGGCCTGACAAATAACAATGTGAAGTTCTAAAGAGTCCTGATGAAAACAACCATCATCAAACAAAACGCTGACAAATGAAATAGATTCCAGAAGAATCTATTAGTTTGTTCACATTCATATTTGTTCCAGCAGGAAACCATCCAATTTGGAGCAAAATTTAGACTCATTAGTACCTGCATACCCGAAAGAATGCAGCTGGAGTCTCCTTTATCTATCCTACGTAGATTACATTATCTATCCTACGTGTAACAACGTAGGATAGTTAATGTATGGGCCTATGGTGAGAAGCTTGAGAAAAGCTTGAAAAAATAGAATTTATTTCTATGGTCAGGGATTTATTGACTCTTCTATGGGGGATCTGTTCACAAATGACCTTGTTCCTTCCGATGAGGGCTGTGATATTTCTTAGGTGAGCTTAACTCAGATTATAGACCTTCATACTCTGGAGGTTTGTTAGACAATTTGGAAGGTTTTCTAATTTTTTTTTTTTTTCAGTATTCCTAAGTACTATTAAAGTGACTTGTTGCTTTGGGAGATCAAAGTGATTTAAGTTCAAACTGGTGACAATAGAACTATTGAGGTTATTGTTTTGCTTCATGGCCACTGAGGGTCCAAAGATCAGGTAGAAGTGAGGGCCCCAACAGTGAGAGGAGGTAGCTCTTAGTTCAGTGGGAGGGGATGGGGCATAAATCAACCAAGTCAGGGATTTCCTAGAATACACAGAGAAGCCCCAACTGAATTCGTTCTTTGGGTGATGAATTTAGGGGATTAAAGTCGCCTCAGGGCTTGTGTATGCACATGTTCCTCTCTCACTTTCCAACTGTTCTTTTCTCTTCATTTCCTCTTCCAAACACCTCACCCCCAAGTTCTTGCTGTAGACACTGATTAAATAGACTGGTAAAAGCCAAGATCCTCATTCTCCAAATTTTCACGCTGAACTGATTTTAATAAACCAGTCTCTCAGCGAGGGTTATTGGGGCGCTGGAGAAGTGGGACTGGGTGTGGCAGGTTGGTCTGTGAGGCAAACTGTTTCACATCATCACTCAACCTCATCCCTGGCTTCTCTCTCTCTTAACTCTCTTTTTTCTTTTGATACATAATTTACAGCGTATCTCCTGCATCTTTCCCTCCTTTTGACATTCCTGTCACCTGCTAGTCTGAACATTGTAAAAACTTCTTTCAATTCTCATTCCATCCTCCTAAGGCAATTCTTGGTGTACACCTATCTTCTTTCATCTTGAGCCTGGCATTCAAGGCCCTGCACCTCAAGGTTGACCCTGAAAAGTCTACCTGTCTCTCCAGACTAAAAAACTATGCACTCTTCTGTGAATTCACCTTGTATTTTGCTCAACCACTTTCTAGCTTATGCTCTTCCTTACACCCTTTCTGTTTCCAGGGTATTAAAACCTTCCCAGGGTTTGGCAGCCAGCACTGATATGCTGCTTCGTCTCTCTTTTTGAATAACTGAAATGTTTTTTATTATGGTAATGACACTTAACTAGTCATGTGTTCAACAGATATTTTGAAGGACTACTGTACTCTAATTAGAACAGTCATTTTAAGGTACAAATCTGATCATATCACTCATCTTAATAAAACAATTACATTCCTTCAAGATAAACTTCAAAACACTTTAATGTGGCTTAAGCCCTGGTATGTTCTAGTCCCTGTTTATTTCTCAAGCCTTATCCTTTGCCAGTACTGCAGTCTTAGTGGACTGCCTATAGCTCCTGGTTTCCCATATAAGTCTGCTTCTGCTTCAGGTATTGGTTTGTACGTGACTTTTTTTGAGAAGCCTTTCTTGGTCTACTCAAGGGTTCAGTTGCAATTATATCATAAATAGAGGCTTGATGCACAAAATTGTGCAATTCCCCCCCCTCCCTCCCCGCTCCCCCCCCCCCCCCGCTCCCCCCCTCCCCTTGCTCCCAGCACCGGCTTCCCTCCAGCCTTGGCTTCATCCTGAAGGACTTCCAGCCTAATTTACTATTATAGATATTGATAGATTAAATAGAGAAGGTAGACCGGAGACTGGGATGGCAGGACACACACAGGCTTTATTGGAGGGAAGAGTACACCTACCGGCTGCTTCAACGGAGAGGAGCGGAGAGAGCTAGCCAGGGGAGTGCAAGCACCATTAAGGATAGGGGGCAGAGCTTAGGGCACTCAGCACACACTGATTAGGGACCTAGGGACTTAGGAATGGGGGGGGGGGGTACTTAGGATATTTGGCAGGTGATGATTGGTGGTTCAGAGCTCAGGAATGTCTGGCCGCAGGTGGGGTTTATGTTTGTCCATCAACTGAAGTAAGGGAGGATCTATCAGATATGTAAATAATTTAGTAAGTATTATAATATTCTGTTTATATGACAACACCCTTCCAACTTCCTAACCACCCCACAGTTTCAAACAAATCCAATGGAATGACCTAATTTTTCTGACTAGAGGTTAGTGTAGTACTTGGTACATAACAGGTATTCATTATGTACTTTTTGAATGAACACTTGAAGATTGCTTAATATGAGTACAATTATTTGGGCCCTCACATGACTTGACAGTTCACTGGGGGAGGTATGCTACTTGCACACTTAACTATAATGCATGATGAGATGATATGTCTAATTTAAGAATTACAAAAGAAAGTGGAATGGGATCAGACTTGTGTTTTCAGAAGATTCATTTGCATGGGCGAGTGGAAAGTGCTGGAGGGGGTCAGGATGGGAGCTAAGGAGGAAATGGCAGTGGTTTACCTGAGATGCAATGATTGTTTGAACCTGGACACAGCCAGTAGGAAGCATAAAGGCTCTGCCTTTTTCTGGAAGAGCCGGCATGGCTGAAGAGTAGGCAAAAGTGCCCCAAGATAAATACTTTCTTCAGTCTTTTGCCTGCAGTGGTCATTTAACTATTATTACATCTTTTTCTTCAAACAAGGCTTGAGGACTTCAAGGGGAGAGGCAGCAGGATAACCCTTCCTTCCTACTTTTTCTTCTTTTTTAAATGATTTATTTATCAATAATTCAAAAGCTATTTTTGTACCTGTTAACATAATATTACAACTAATATGGTCTGAAAGTGAAAGTTTTAAATGTCATACAAGTCATAGTGGCCTCAAACTATTGAGGCTACTTTTAAAAGGCCTGCTGTACACCTTTGGAGGAGTTCATCATTAAGGCCAGAGGTTGTAAAACCATATTTCCAGTGCTCTTCTTAATCACTGTTGCCTTTTTTGTCCATCTTTAAGCCAGCTGTGATTAGCTTATGGTGGCTTTTAACTTGTGATGTGTC